ACCAGCTACACTCTCAAATGCTGGATACCAATCGTAGCCTGGCTAGGTAGGTTTGATGGCTATGACTTGAAGCCTAGGCATTCATAATTGGACGTACTTATAAATTAAAAAATGATAAAAGAGGACGGTGGGAAAAACTTTAATTAAAACATTAAGACTATTATTTGGTTTCCATCTTCAGCTTTTAGCCAATAGGAAGAAAACTTTTGACTTAGATAATCCTTGATACTTAGTCAGAAATGAAAATTAAGTATGGAGGCTTGGCTTATGATTATCAACACAAAGAGTGACAATGGATGTACAGAAATAAAGGCCAAAGAAGATAACACTGGCAATGAGACTATCTGTCCTGTAAATTCATATCAGTCTTACATCCATGCCCAAATCAACAGGTTTTATTTTCATGAGGACACAGTGGCAGAGAGACAGGGAACAACATGTTTTGAGACTAACCTGACTGAGGACTGAGATGTGATCGACACTGTAGTCATCGGCCAATGATCGAATGAATCTATTACAGAGACATGATTTTCCGATTCCGACAGCTCCCTTGTCCTTTTCAGTCCCAGACAGACCAACAACAGCGACGTTGAACCATTTGGAAGCATCGTTTTTCCTGGCCATGATGCCAAGAAACTATCTACCTTCCTTTCTTGTCACGAATATGGTGGTTGAATCGGTTACTAAAATGCTTGGCCAATATTGACGCATTCATTTTGAGATCAAGAGATCATGCGTCTTGTGCATTACCTGAAACGATAATAATAATAATAAGCAGTGGTTTACAAAAACTGGATAAAAAATCAAAACATTGAACATAAATTGAGATCCCTCAAGAGCTGCGGATTCTTATTTTTGTTAGAGGGAGTCTTTAAATTGAACGGAGTATGGGAATTGACTGATTAACTTAGATAGAACATTTCAGTGGGGATTTTTCGTTGAACAGAAATAAATTTTGTCCAATAAAGGGTTCCTAACAGTAACTTCTTTAGATGTCATCAACGGAATAGATTAGTCCTCGTTGCACAAAGAATACTTTCCAGTGACTTGGATTGAGATCAGTCCATAATCTCTCTTTTAGACATTACGCTCAACTGCAGTGAATTCTTAAACACAATTGATCAAAGTGGCCCACCAGACAGATTTTCTACCTCTGCAAAAGAGCCAATTACTCACATAGAATTGCATTTTCGGATGAATGAAGATTTACTAGGAAAAATTATTCTCTCTTCTCCAGCAACACAAAATTGGAAAAATAGCTGCACCTGAGAAATGAGATTGAAATATTCATTGATCTGCTTGCAGATCCAACACGTTTTAAAGCGACAAAGGTGTTAGAAATGGCCAAGTTTGTTTCCAAGTACACTACTTTTAAGGTTGGTATTACCTACCAAGCTGGATAGTTCCTGAATAATTAACCCTTGAACATACATCTGAAGAATTAGAAATTTTGAGACATGTTGATAAAGAAACTTTCCTCATGTCATTCAGATACCTCAATACAGTGCAACACAACGGTTCAAGCCACCTTTAGGGATCATAAGAATTTGGATAAAATTTTAGGGCTGAGGTACCTAGGCACACAATTCGGCAAGCGAATTAAACTAAGTCAAACAATGCTGTTTGGCTTCCAGCAATTCTGTCCTATATACTTTAACAACACAATCTTAAATTTCTACTTTAATTTCTGGCGATGAGGTAGGCTAATAACAATATACACGGAATTTCTAAGTAAGTAACCTTGAAATGCTCGGCGATGATAGTTAAAAAAAAGGTTACGATACCAAGAAAACAATCAATGATTCAAAAAAAGAAAGCCCTACACAAAATTGAGTGGCCTAATGGGCATTGACTCAAGTTTTGAACTCTGCCGAGTTCACTGTAGTGCATTCAGTTATGATTCTAGTGTAGATTACACAAAAAGTAATTTAAATATGTTCTTGCGTCAACAAAGCAGAAGCTCCCTGCCTACTTTCCGTAATACGAGCTGTTTAAAAACTTAGAATTCACAGACCATTGTTTAGCTATTAATGCAGTTTGGAATATGAACCATTCCCTGAGTAAGGTTAGGTTATGTGCGGAACTAATTGTTACGACAAATTATCCCCTTTACGTCATACGCCTTCCTTTGTTCTCTAACATCTAAGAGGAAGGTGAGAATAACCTCTCTACCAAAAAATTTTGGAGCAATTAATAGTAGCCAGAACGGCTCTAAAGTGTTCGTCTCAAAAACAAAGAAACAGTTCGACGCTGCAGGTAAGGGTTGAGAAGTACATTGTCCTCCTTGATCTACTTAAGTACAAAGGTTCAGCCCTTCACGTTCTCAAAGGAGACCATTCATTTAGCCACAAAGATCTTAGAAACTTTTTAAGAGCATGCTCAGGGATGCTTAGAACAAAAACTCAGTTGCTGAGTCAAGAGAAAAGTATTGGGAGGACATCGCTCAATTGCACAAGATTGGGGTTATCTAAGTGCTGATGCTGAGATGGTATTGGAGCAGGTTTTTAAAAGAAAATTTAAGAGGAAATGCAAGGTACATTGCAATCTTGAAAGATAATGATAAAAACACGAGATCTACTTACATTCTTCATCAAGAATGATTGATGTAGAGAACATGCTTGTAAATTAGCATGTAAGGGAGAAACTGTCTGGCTGAAAGTGAACTCGCGACGGTGAAGGAAAGAAGTTCTCCTCCCGTCTGGATGGATGATTGACGAGAAATTAGCACTTTAGGAATCGCAAAAACGGATGGAATGAGAGATTGAGCTATGACAAAACACAAAATACGGGCTCAACTTATTTTATCTGGCTGAGTCCGGACAGACCCGTACGCAAACACAGCAAATCAAGCATTAAAAACACGTAAACGCGACCTGATTCGCACACTCATTTCGTTCGATTACGATTTCGGTACAAAAATATAAAAACAGTAGAAAATAAAGTGATAAAAATTGCGGGGTACGTTTCGAAATGAATGCAGACTTGGAGTTTTATTATCAACTGACACCGTACACTTCACCTAACCATGACGCCATTACACTCATTTCATTGGAGTAGGTTTGATTGGTGGGAGCAATCCAACTTTACCCTGCAAGGATATGTGCAGCAACACACAAAGCAAGTCTCATCAACTGGTAGTCTATACCGCCCCTTGGCACGGTGGGCACGGATGTGTCGTGAGAGTTTGTACTTCGCAAACTTTGCAAACGATGTCTTTTGCACGACTATTAAAAGCAATATATTTGGTATAATCACGTTTTCACACATGCACGATTGATATTTTTTTCATGTGAAGGTATGGTAAAGAGAGAGTACAAAGGTGAATAGGGCTCTCGTCAAAAAAGTTGAACCGATAGTCACTAACCCGCAGGATTTTTAACATCTTGCATGTCGAACAAAGAAAACCTCGCGGAAGTGTCTTGTCCTGTTCAAGCAAATTACTGACCTTATTTAACTTATGAAATGTTGCATTTCTTTCTCTCCCTATCTCTTCCCTCCCCCTCTATCCTTGTATATATTCTTAACATTTTTTATTTTATTACATTTCTTTTATTCTTTATTTTTTACATTTTTTTATTTAGTTATTTTTTACATTTTGTTACTTTTTACATTTTGTTACTTTTTACATTTTGTTATTTTTTACATTTTGTTATTTTTTACATTTTGTTATTTTTTAACATTTTGTTATTTTTTACATTTTTTTTTATCTCTTACATGCTCTTATTTTTTACTTTTTTTTATTCATTATTTTAATTTTTTTTTAAATTTTTGTTTACATTTATTTCACGTTTTTTTTTTACATTTTGTTATTTTTTACATTTTTTTTTTATCTCTAACATGCTCTTATTTTTTACTTTTTTTTATTCATTATTTTAATTTTTTTTTAAATTTTTGTTTACATTTATTTCACGTTTTTCTTCTTTACAACATAGTGTATTCAACGATTCGCGGTCCGCCGTGTGTGACATCCAATGCACAATGTGCCGGTACCACGCAAATATGATGAACAGCCCCCTCCTCTCCTTAGTGAAGGAGGACATAGAAGGTTGAGCGGTTGCAATTGAAAACTGACGGTGATTACTTTGTCGCCTCTCCAGGGATAAAATACTTCCAGACCTTCATTATTTTGGGAGCCAAGGGAATCCTTGGTAAAAATGACAAATATACGACTACTCCAAATGCGTAGTCTTTTGGTAATTTTCAGACCTCCCCCCCTCCATGGGTGGAGCTTCGGCATGGAGAAAAAAAAGGAGGTGTTTGCATTTCGGGCATCTTGGAATTTTTTGATGACTTGATGACGTAGGTGGGTACAGGTGGGTACAGCGACGTCCCCTTCACGCTGTACCCACCTACGTCATCAAGTCATCAAAAAATTCCAAGATGCCCGAAATGCAAGCACCTCATTTTTTTCTCTATGGAGCTTCGGCACTAGTATAGCTTTCCGCGGAGATGGCAGAAGGGCACCTCATCGAGGGGCATGCGCGGGGGGGGGGGGC